GGGGGGGGGGGCCCTCGTGTCAGTTCGCACTTTGGCGCCGGTCCAGGAAGCAGGATGGAGGGGGAGAATCGAGACAAGCCACCGATCAGGGGGCCCGCGTCGCGCACCGGATGCCGAGAAGAGATGCTCGCTCATCTTGCTGACGTGGTGCTGCATCGTGTCGAAGGAGGCTCCGTACGCCACGGCAAGTTCCAGATACCGGCGCACGCACTCGACCGGCGTCGAGTCATATCCTCGGAAGAGGGCCGGGTTGGTGAGCAGTGGCCGTGCCGACATGAAGGCATTGACCCCGGTCTGCTGTCGGATGGTGTCCACGGCCGCCAGGGAATCCACGTCGCCATTGGCGATGACCGGGATGGAGACCGATTCCTTCACCTGAGTCCGGGAAAATGGCGAGGAAAGAGCACAACGGGTCAACTCACATGAGCACGGGGCGAATAGAATCGGAGAGGGAGGAAGAGAGAGAGAGAGAGAGAGAGAGAGAGAGAAAAGGAGGGAGGGCGAGACAGGATAGGGGCTCTCATACCAGGCGGATGGCGTCCAAATTCGGTGGGGTAGAAGACCGCTGCGGGGTCAGGCGCCCGTGGACTGCGATCCACGCGGCCCCGGCCGCCTCGGCCCGCCGGGCCAGCTCCACCGTCTGGGCCAGGTCCTCGTCAATGCGAATCTTCACGCTGACTGGCACGGTGCTCGCCCGTCCGGGGAGAGCACGCGCCGCGCGCACCATGTCGCAAATGAGCTCCGGCGTGCGGAGCAGCCGGGCCCCGTAGCCACACTGCATCACCCAAGACTGGGGGCAGCCGCAGTTGAGGTCTACCCCGGCCACATACGGGGCCACATGCGCCACGGCATTGGCAAAGTCCGCGGCGTTGGACGCCGCAAACTGCACCACAAGGGGGGTGTCATCTGCAACGCAAGGCTCGGATGGTCAGTCATGCGCGCGCGCGCGGGCAGGCACCCCCGCCAAGCGTTGAGCGGGGATAGTGGCGCACTCTTGGAAATGGACAGTTGGATGTCACGGGCCACTTGCGACTGGGCAAAGGCATCGGAGATGATCATCGGCGTGTAGGCAATGTGCACGCCATACTCGCGGACCAGCTCCCGGAAGGGTAGCCTGGCGCCGGGAGTGCCAGGAGCCGGCCCCAGCCCGCGGTGTGGGGGATTAGTCGGCGCCACCAGCCAGAGAGGAAGTCATTGGCCATCGGGCCCGAAAGCGTACCGAGAGTATCGGACCATCGGGGCCAACACATAGACGGGGTCATCGCCACGGAGTAGGTCCACAGCCGAGCGGCTGATCGAGGCCAGATCCCAGTCTTCGATGTCGATGGCCGCCAGCCGGTCGGTCGGCCTTCCACCGAGCCAGTCAACCAGCTCCGATGTCGAGATGGGCGCCTCCGGGTCGGTCATGCTGCTGAGTAACAAGAAAAGGGAGGGCAGCGCGGGGAGGGCAAAATGAAAGAGGAGGGAGGGGGGGGGGGAGGAGAGAGAGGTTGAGGACCGGTGTGAGTTGTTCATGGCGGAGCCGCTCGGCCGGACGGAGCAGCGGGCTTTTCTCTGTTTGCCCATCCGGCCAGATCTCGGGCCGTGCGGGGGGGGGGCGGCGTGGGGCGGGCGTCCCTTGCTCATGCGCGCGCACGCACGCGCGCGTGTCCAGCCCGCTGGCAATCGGGCGGGTGGGCGGTCACGCGGCGATCCAAGGTCACTGGATCGTCCCGGGGCTATCATTGGCCCGGCGATAGCTACCTCTCATAACGAATATCGGTCGGACTCGCAGGCCGAGGGTCGGCCCCCGGCGTGCGCCGGCAGCCAGGGCCCGATGCGTGGGCATCCCGGCGGTGTTGTACCTAAAATGGTCCCCAGTCAGGAGGATCGTCATGCTGCCCGGCGTGAGTGGGGGGCGCGTGAGTGCATACATACGTACGTACGTACGTGTGCAGGTACGTGCGTGTGTGCGTGCGTGTATGTGCGTGTGTCTGTGTGTGTCTTTAATCTTGTTGGGCCATGCATGGTCTGTGCCCATATCTGTGTCGTCGTTGGTACAGAGAACTGGGTGAAATGCATGTCTCTCGGGCCCCGCCACCATCGGGAGGTGGGTGGCGGGGGGACCGTGTACACTTGTGCGCCCGACTCACGGCCCCAGCGCCAGCGTGTTTACATTTTTTCGCCGTAACGATCCCCACGACCAGGGGAGCCGGGCAGATCAGGGGCAACCTCGGATTCTCACCCCGGTCTTCGGCCCCCCCCCCCCCCCCCCTGCCCCCAGCCCCGGGAGGGGGGCACTGGCGGGCAGCCCATCTTTCGCCAGGGTCGGGCTCCGTGCCCTGGTCGGGTCAGAGATCCCTTTGGGCGCGTACGCGCGCGTGTGCGCGTGTGCGAGAGCGCCAGCGTCTCGCGTCTCACCCTGTCCCCCCCCCCTCCCTCCATTGCCTGGGCCGCGCACACCCGGCACTGGGCATGCGTTTGAGAGCCTCCTCACTGATCGACCCGGCCATGGTGAGGAGGACAACCCTCCTCACTTGTCCTCCCCCTCAACATCCGTTTGCCCCCCCCCCTCCACTCTCTCTCTCTCTGCCCTTTTCTCTCCCCCCTCTCCTCCCGCCTACTGGATCGCCACCCTCCTCCCAAATAGTGAGAGAGGGAGAAACAGCGAGTGAGAGATGGCCTTTCGGGACAAGTTCCGGAAGAACTCCTCCCTGCGAGATCTCTCGGACTTTCTGCCCGTCACCCAGGTCCGC